CTGTACTGTTTGATATTTATTTATTTAATTTTTAAGGTTGGCATTATAACATTGATTAAAATAATGCTATGGGTTAACATAAACAGCAAAGAAGCAAAGAATTAAAATGCAAGCTGTGTAAAATCCCAAAGAAAACCCAAAAGTGGCTGATATATTCATTCTTAGCTAACTAAAAGTGCAAGAAAGACAAGACACTCAATATAATAAAGAACTGCAAAAAACAACTGACAATTTTCAGTTGCCAAAATTGCAGATTTTGCATTTTATATCCTTTTCTCAACGAAGAAAAAATTCTTTTTGAATGTTATATATAAAATACATATAAAACAAGATAGAAAACTACATTATAAACTTGTAACAGTGGCTGTAAATACATTTCCTTACATGTCTCTCATAGGCAATAGATATGGTATATACATAGCATGAAATTACTAAGATAATAAAGAACAGACAAATATGTCAGCTGTGCAGTAACACACAAGCAACTCTCCCATCTACTCACGCCAAAAAATTAAATACTATCAGAAAAAAGTTTTAAAAGCTACATACTTTAATAAGAAATAAGGTGAGGGGACAGCATTGTGGTGTAGTACATTAAGGCTCCACCTGCAATGTTGGCATCCCATATGGGCACTGGTTTGAGTCCCAGCTGCTCCACTTCTGATCCAGCTCCCTGCTATGGCCTGGGAAAGCAGTACAAGATGGCCCAAGTGCCTGGACTTCTGCACCCGTGTAGGAGACCTGGTGGAAACTCCAAGCCCCGGCTTCAGATCCAGCTCCGGCTGTTTTGGCTATTTGGGGAGTGAACCGGCGGGCGGATGGAAGACCTTTCTGTCTCCCCCTCTCTCTGTCTGCAACTCTAACTCTCAAATAAATTAATCTTAAAAAACAAATAAATATAATAAAAATAAGGAATAAGTTTAATAAAGAATAATACTGAAAACCAAGGCATTCAGAGATTTCAAAAGTCATGCTTTTTTATTTTCAATTGATCCAAAATCTTATCAACTAAGTTTTCAAAAGTTTGTTCAGAGCCAGCATTACTCATAAATGTCACACATGTATTATCTCATACATTTACTTCCTTCCCCAGAAAAGACCTTTGATAAACATCTGAAATGTCCAGGTATAACACAGTTGAGATGAAACTGGATCAAATACTGGTATTGTTTTTAACAACTAATACCACAAAGTGTTTAATTGTCGCACATTAATTCAACCAACCAACCAAAATAAGAATCAAAACGGCACAGCATATATTGTAAATAAATCAAAACAGTGGTTTGTGCAACAGCAAGACAAAGTGGTAGTACATTAAACCAAAGCTAGACGAATACAAGACGAGCAATGCCTATTGCCTAGTAAATAAACTGGAAACGGTTTCCAAGGAGACGCCATGATGGAGAGCTCACCGTACTGGTGTGAATGGAGTTTCCTGCTGAGCTTGCCTGGGAAGCTACGAGAGAGGGAACTCAAGACCACGGCCACTTGAGACTTGCCACGTCTGATACTGAGCAGCTAACAATTATTCACTCAGTGTTTAGATGTAGCTTTGCACACAAAATGTTTCAACTGCAAAAGTGTTTGAAGTTCACGAGCAACTGAAGTATACTTGAGTATTTATACCCACATTGTTGGGTTTTTCCACCTTTTTTAAAAAATATTTTATTTATTTGAGAGGTGGAGTTACAGAATGGAAAGTAGGAGAGACAGAGGAAGGTCTTCTATCTGCTGGTTCACTCCCCAAATGGCCACAACGCCTGGAGCTGGGCCAATCCAAAGCCAGGAGCCAGTGGTCTTTTCCGGGTCTCCCATGCGGGTGCAGGGGCCCTAGCACTTAGGCCATCTTCTACTGCTTTTCCAGACGCATTAACAGAGAGCTGGATCAGAAGAGGAGCAGCTGGGATACGAACTGATACCCATATGGGATGCTGGCACCTCGCCGGAGGGTTAGACTACTACGCCACAGTGCCGGACCGCCTATCCTTTTAAAATTAAAAAAGGAGTCATAAACAGTGTGTGGGGGAAAATGGGGAGGTTACTAAAACCATCAGAGATGGACAATACAAGTTCTCTGATATTGGTATAAAGAAAGAGGATTAAATTGGGGTCATTTGAAAACATTATTTTCCAGAATGAAAATATTCATTTTTTTATTCATTTTTAAAAAGATTTATTTATTTATTTGAAAGTAAGAGTTACAGAGAGGAAGAGGTAGAGGTAGAGGGAGAGGGAGAGGGAGAGGGAGAGGGAGAGAGAGAGAGAGAGAGAGAGAATCTTCCATCTACTGGTTCACTCCCCAGATGTCTGCAATGTCAGGAGCTGGGCTGATCAGAAATCAGGAGCTTCTTCAAGGTCTCCCATGCAGGTGCAAGGGCCCAAGGACTTGGGCCATCTTCCACTGCTTTCCCTGGCCAGAGCAGAGAGTTGGATAGGAAGTGGAGCAGCCAGGACTCAAACCGGCACCCATATGGGATGCCAGCACTGCAGGCTACATCACAGCACCAGCCCCTAAGATTTATTTTTGTGAAAAAGTTTTCTAGGCAAACTCCAATTAATAAGAAAAAATCCAATGCCTACCTCTTCTGTGAATAAAATAAAGCTGTAATTCTCTTTGTCAACTAATGTTCAGATGATCTCACATAATTTTCCTCTCAGAATCCTTTGGGTAAACATTGGAGATTATAATAACCAAAAGTATTCAATTATGATTTTTAAAAGAATAATGTTTTAAAACTTAACAAATCAGACATTAGCAAAGTTATCAATTTTTTTCACAGTATCAGATTTGGCAAATTTGCATCAAAGTAAGGTGGCAAAAATCATATAGATCAAAGCATCAACTCATTTGTCTCCCCTCTTTCACATACTGGGTGACTGAGGACGATGCACTCACTTTTTATTTTATTTTAAAAATTTAAACTTTTTTTAAAATTTATTTTTTAAGGAATACAAATTTCATAAGTACAATTTTGTTGATATAGTGATTCTTCCACCATACCCGCCCTCCCACCCACACTCCCACCCCTCCTCCTCCTCCTCCCGTTCCCCTTGCCAGTCCCATTCTCCATTAAGAATCCTTCTCAGTTAACTTTGCACACAGAAGACCAACTGTATACTAAGTAAAGATGTCAACAATTTGCACACACACACACACACACACACTGAGAACTGGTTTTACAGTTAGCTCTCATAATACAACTCATTGAGGACAGAGGTCCTGCATGGGGAGTAGTGCACCGTGACTCCAGTTGTTGATTTAATAATTGACACTCTTATGGATGCATTCACTTTTATTGTGAGGGAGGAGCTGATTTTAGGAGACACTTGACTAAATGACCAGGAAGGAAGATAAGGCACATTCTTTTCTCCACTTATTCTAATACTTAAAAAATAATTTTAAAAAAGACAAAAAAGCTCTTTTGGTCTTTTGTTTCTTGATAACCACCAGAAAAAAATCATTTAATGAAATAAAGGATTTCTTTGTTCTTTTTTTTTTTTAAGATTTATTTATTTATTTGAAAGTCAGAATTACACACAGAGAGAAGGAGAGGCAGATTGAGAGAGAGAGAGAGAGAGAGAGAGAGAGAGAGAGAGAGAGAGAGGTCTTCCATCTGCTGGTTCACTCCCCAATTAGCCGGCAACAGCCGGAGCTACGCTGATCCAAAGCCAGGAGCCAGGAGCTTCCTCTGGGTCTCCCACATGGGTGCAGGGGCCTAAGGACTTGGGCCATCTTCCACTGCTTTCCCAGGCCACAGCAGAGAGCTGGATCGGAAGTGGAGCAGCCTGGACTCAAAACGGCACCCATATGGGATGCCGGCACTGCATGCAGTGGCTTTATCGGCTAGCCACAGTGCCAGCCGCTCTTTGTTATTTTATTTTGCAATACTTGAAAGCATAAAATGTTACATTTCCAAATATATATATATATATATATGTCTATTTTTTCCTGCACCATGTATAGTAAAAGAACATACTTTTTGTTCATTTGTTTCAATGCATTACACTTCATCTACAATTTCATTACAAGTACACAGAAAATAGGCAAGCATGGCTTTTACAATGTTAATTATTTTTTCTATAAAGGGAGGTTTTTTTTTTTTTTAAAGTACTTGAGCAGTTTGCCCAGTAATGAGATGCATAATGCATGTACCTTGTTCTTGTATATTTTTAAAGGAGATATAAAATAAAGGTTCAGTAATTTTCACTCAGATGTTTATCTTTTTAAAAATAGTGTTGCAGTTTTTTGCTTTGCATTAATTTTCAAAACTCCTTGTTAAAGCTGGCGCCGTGGCTCAATAGGCTAATCCTCCGCCTTGCGGTGTCAGCATACCGGGTTCTAGTCCCGGTCGGGGCGCCGGATTCTGTCCCGGTTGCCCCTCTTCCAGGCCAGCTCTCTGCTGTGGCCAGGGAGTGCAATGGAGGATGGCCCAAGTGCTTGGGCCCTGCACCCCATGGGAGACCAGGAGAAGCACCTGGCTCCTGGCTTCGGATCAGTGTGGTGCGCCGGCCGCGGTGCGCCGGCTGCAGTGCGCCAGCTGCGGCAGCCATTGGAGGGTGAACCAACGGCAAAGGAAAACCTTTCTCTCTGTCTCTCTCTCTCACTGTCCACTCTGCCTGTCAAAAAACCAACCAACTAACCAAACAAACAAACAAAAAACAACAACAACAAAAAAAACCTCCTTGTTAGACGTTTTTCTCCTCTGGCACACTTCACCTTCTAACAGGCAATGTAAAAAGGCCACCATTCTGCCTTCTGATGGCACTCTAGTGACGAAACAGCACATGGAATTCAGAACGCTTGTTGAAATCACTTCACCAATGACATTCATGACTGCGGGCTCACACATGATGTCTCATCCCAGAGTACATTCAGAGAGAGCTGTGACTTTGCTAGGAGAAGAAAACGATTCTTGGAAGTCTCTCAAAGTGACAGCTTGTGCCAGTGAATAGTTAAGGGCCATCTGTCTCCTCCCTTCTCATTGGCTCAGAGCAGGGACATTAAAGGTCAGTCACGGGTGGGAGCTATGGCGTTGTGGGTGAAGCTGCTGCCCGCAGTGTCGGCCTCTCATGGGGGCGCTGGTTCAAGTCCCGGCTGCTCTGCTTCTGATCCAGCTCTCTCTATGGCCTGGGAAATCCTTGGGCTCCTGCACCTGCGTGGGAGACCCGGAGGCAGCTCTTGGCTCCTGGCTTCAGATCGGCCCAGCTCTGGTTGTTGTGGCCATTTGGGAGAATGAACCAGCAAATGGAAGACCTCTCTCTCTCTCTCTCTCTCTCTCTCTTTCTCTCTGCCTCTGCCTCTCTGTAAGTCTATCTTTCAAATAAATAAAAAACAAATCTTTAAAAAAAAAGCCATCAGTGCTGTTGGATGAATTGAACCATTTGGCTTTCGTACCATTTGATATTTCTTTTTTTAAAGATTTATTTATTTACTTGAAAGATAGACTTACAGAGAGAGGCAGGGCCACAGAGAGAGAGAAGTCTTCCATCTGCTGGTTCACTCCTCTATACCATTTGATTTTTAAACAAGCACTCTTTTATATTTAATATTTGACTAAGTAATACATATATATGATTCAAACATTAAAAAAATACAAAAGGTAAAAAGTCTCTCTTCCTATCCTATCTTCCATTTCCATTTTTCTACCCCCAGTCCACTCTTACTGGGTTCTTGAAATCACTACAGGATTGTCTATGTAATACAAATAAATACTAATATATATTCTATATTTTCCTTTTTCACACACAAGGTAGCCAACAGTGCATGTTGCTCTATACCTTGTATTTTTCATTAAAAATCTCTTGGGGGCAGATGGTTGGCCTAGTGGTAAAGATGCTGGTTAAATCACCAACATCTTGCACTGGAGTGCCTTCGTTCAACTCCTGGCTGTACAGCCTAATTTTAGCTTCCTGCCAGTGTAGACCATGGGAGGCAGCAGGTGACAGCTCAAGCATTTAAGCCCCTGTTACCCATATAGATCTGGGTTGAGTTCCCAGCTTGATTTCAGCCATTGAAGGCATTTAGGAAGTGAACCAATAAATAGGAGCTCTATTCCTGCACCTGTCTCTTTGCCTCTCAAATTAAGAAAAAAATCCCACTTTTTCCCATATTATAGAACATATACATTATATTCTTTTTCTATGTATTTATTTTATATTGGCTGCATGTTTTATTAATAAGTGAATTATGATTTATTTAAACTAGTTTTATATCAAGAATGGGTTATTTCTAATCTTGCAATTGTAAATAATGAATAATCTATATATCTAGGTCATTTTTTAATTTTGATTTTTTAAAAAAGATTTATTTATTTATTTGAAAGTCAGAGTTATAGAGAGAGAAAGAGAGAGAGAGAAAGATCTTCCATCTGTTGGTTCACTCCCCAGATGGCAGAAATGGCCAGGGCTTGGTCAGGCTGAAGCCAGGAGCCAGCAGCTTTTTCCAGGTCAAACACATGGGCCATCTTCCATTGCTTTCCTAGGCACATTAGCAGGGTGCTGGATCAGAAGTAGAGCAGTTGAGACACAAACTAGTGCCCATATGGAATACTGGCATTGTAGGCAGTGGCTTTACTTGCCATACCACAATGCTGGCCCCTAAATTTTTAATTTTTTAGAAGATTTTATTTATTTATTTGAGAGGTGGGAGTTACAGAGAGGGGGAGACAGAGAGAAAGGTCTTCCATCTGCTGGTTCACTCCCCAAATGGCTGCAACAGCCAAAGCTGAGCTGATCCAAAGCCAGGAGCCAATAGCTTCTTCTGGGTCTTCCATCTGGGTGCAGGAGCATAAACATTTGGGCCACCTTCCACTGCTTACCCAGGTGCATTAGCAGAGAGCTGGGGTGGAAGTGGAGCAGCTGGAAGTCAAACTGGAACCCATATGGGATGCTGGTGCCGCAGGAGGCAGCTTTACCCACTATGCCATAGCACCGGCCCCAAGATTTACGGGTCTTGAAAAATTTTCCTCCATGGTGTCTCATCAATTTACAATCTCATAAAACAATTATTGAACTTATGGATTTTTTAAAAGATTTATTTATTTATTTGAAAGTCAGAGTTACACAGAGAGAGGAGAGGCAGAGAGAGAGAGAGAGGTCTTCCATCCGCTGGTTCATTTCCCAAATGGCTGCAACGTCCAGAGCTGAGCTGATCCGAAGCCAGGAGCCAGAAGCTTCTTTCCCGGGTCTCCATGCGGGTCCAGGGGCCCTAGTACTTGAGTCATCACCTGCTGCCTCCCAGGTGCATTAGCAGGAAGCTGGAATTGGAGGCAGAGCCAGGACTCAATTAGGCACTCTGAGATACATATTTCTCTTCTGGTTATTATCCTACTGACCTCAGTGTATATTTGAGAATTACCTTATCAAGCTCAACAGAAGTTGGTTTGCTTTGGGGTCGGAGGACTGCATTAAAATTTTAAATTAACCTAGAGAGATTTGGTTTTTAACACTTTCAAATTTTCCTGCCCAAGTATGTCTTTCTACCTAGTCAATGCTAATTGGGGTTCTTTGGTTTTAATGTTTTCTATGTATAGGGCTTGTGCATTTCTTCTGAAATGTATTCCTAGAGTTTTTCTCTTTGTTTTGTTGCTGCTAATTTTAAAAAGGCCCTTCATCCTTATAAATTTGAATAGGTTTTTACTTGCATATATGAGACTGATTGCTTTCTGGTATTAATTTACATCTTTTCATGGAACTGTTTTATAGTTTACAGTAATTTGTTAGTTGAGTGTTCGCTTTGAAAGCATATAACCAGGGGCCGGTGCTGTGGTGCAGTGGGTTAACGCCTTGGCCTGAAGCGTCGGCATCCCATATGGGTGCCGGTTTGAGTCCAGGCTGCTTCACTTCCCATCCAGCTCTCTGCTGTGGCCTGGGAAAGCAGCAGAAGATGGCCCAAGTCCTTGGGTCCCTGCACCCGTGTGGGAGATCTGGAAGAAGCTTCTGGCTCCTGGCTTCGGTTCGGCGCAGCTCTGGCTGTTTTGGCCCATTGGGAAGTGAACCAGAGGGTAGAAGACCTCTCTCTCTTTCTGCCTCTCCTCTCTCTGTGTAACTCTGACTTTCAAATAAATAAATAAATCTTTTTTTTTTTTTTTAAAGAAAGCATACAGTCATATCCTCTGCAAATAGTTAAAGTGTTTTTTCTTTTTTTCATACTTTAAGTTTTTATCAGATCTAGTTGTGACTGCTAGTACCTTCAGCAAAATTGTAATAGTGATAATGAGTATTCTTCTCTTGTTCCTAAATTCAGTGGGCTGATTCTAGTATTTTCCCAGTAAGCAGAATGCTAGCTAGCTGTATTTTTTTTTCAAGTTAAAGAAGTATTCATCTGTTCCTATTTTAGTGAGTACTTTTTATTAGTTATGAAACCAGGAGCATTTTAGTAAACAACAATGACAATGAACATGTTCTTCAGACCTTTCCGCTCTCCTGCCTTCCCTCCAGTCTCCTGCTCGCCTCCCATTGGCTGGTCCTAGACAGAAGCCAGAGGGGAGGACGTCCCAGCTGCTCAGCTTCCTAGAACTCAGAGCAGGTAGAGAAGAAGCATAGGGTGAGGCTCTGGAAGACTGACAGGCTATGTCCAGTGCAGAAGTCAATATCAGTTGACAAAAGAGCTTATCTCTTTATGAACTGAGAACAAAAAGTTTATTATGGGTTCCAATAAGCCATTATCTTAAAGCAAGTAGCATTGCCTTTGCTTATTAAAAAAAATGGGAAAGAGAAGTGTGAGGTTCCAGTCTGGGGCACTTTTCCATGAAAAGCTGCTGTACCAACCTTTTCTAGATCTCTGGTAAGCAGACCACTGAGTTATATTTCCTGGTCATAAATTCAAGTTCAGGATCAGCTTTGGGACATGATTTCCCCTATCTGTACTACCTTATTTTTTAAAAGCTTGCCACTCCTTCCTCAGAACTAAAAATAAAGTTGTGACAGGTCAACTGGCAGCACCGGAACCAGACACTGTATCTTCTGGGAAGGATCCAGCAGGTCGTGCCCGTTTTACTGGCGCCTTGGCCAGTCTCCAGGAGTGTTCTGTCCAGGCCTGCCTCACATGCCCTCTGCATCTGCAGGCTTGGCTTGGCGGGCAGCAAGTTCACCTGACTGTTCCATGTGATACCCTCCCTGTTGGGCTGCTTCTCTTCTGCCAGCATTTCAAGATGCCTCCAAGCTCCACAGCAATGCTGGCCCTCTTCTGCACAGGCTGCATATGCAGGAGACATCCTGGGCCCAAGACAGAGTTGCCAGAGACAATACAGGATGCTCAGCTAATTTGCATTTCAGATGAGGTCTAATTTTTGGTCTAAGTATTTCCCAAGTATTGCATGGGACATACTTAGAGTTGTAAGAATTATTTGCTGTTGATGTGAAATCCAAGTCCAACTGGGCATCCTGTATTTTTCTTTGCTAAATTTGGCAACCCTCATCACAGAGCTCTTCCCAAAATAATCTTCCACTTTGCTCTCTGCCACCAACCACCCTCCCAACTTCGCAGTTCTGCCATTAGGATTATACTCATTAAGTGTTAAGATAGCCAAGGAGGGATAGTAACTATGCAGGTTGTTGTTAAGATTCACTTCTGAGGCTTTTGCTCCTGACTTTAATCCTTACGAGGAGGGATGAGTGTATCAGATTGATAAACATGGGGATATTTCAGTGGGGATTGAGAACAAGCGTGGTGGATCACGAAAAACTTAGATTCTAGCAGATGTGTGTATGGGTAGGGATGAAGGCAGGGGTGTCTGGGGGTATCTTAAAGCAATGCGTGCAGAAAGAGAATGCTGTTGGGTCGAACTGCCCCCTTTACCAGGTTTTGCCCTGATGCTCCAAACTCAAAAATCTTTTATTGTGTTTTCTCTTTCTTTTCCTGAAGTTCCCCTGTTTTACGCTTTAACTGTGGGTCTAGTCATATTTTCTTGAAGTTCCTGTTTTTTTTTTTTAGGACAGCAAGGTCATGCTATCCTGGCCTGATTCCAAGCCACTCCAATCAGAGCTTGCCAGCATTTCCGCATACCAGCTGTCTTTCACCTAATCCTGCACTTTCCCCAGGCCCCCTGGCAGGGTGTCAGTTTTGAGCATTGCTCCTGAGTTCTTGTGTGGCCACCTCATAATAAACTTTCTGCAGAAGATGGTGGCTTCAGTATTTGGCTTTCCTATGTCCATGGACAAACAGACTCATCCTGGGTTGCTAACAAGAATACTGAAGAGAGCTTAAAATCCGACAATTTTGTCTGGCTGGGATCTCTGCATCCTTTTCTTCTTACCTCCTCTTTTCCTTCCATCCTTTTTTCAACACTCACCTACCCCCGGATACAGGGGCATGAATTAGAGACTTGATCCCAACAGAAGAGAAGCGGGAGGTGTGTGGAAAAAACAACCATCAACCAACCAAGGACCGGGAGTGAAATAGCCTGGGAGGAGAAGTAAAACCAAGAAGGTTTTTAAAATTAGGCCCTTGACATTTAAGCAAAAAAGTCCAAAGTTAGCTAAGGATAACCACTTATTGCAGGATTCAAAACCTCCGAATGACAAAACTGCTGAAGAAGGAAGTGATGGTGACATGGGTACCCTGCTGATCTGTCTCTGTGGTCAAGTACTTCTCCATTCCCAACCTTAATGCAGCCACACGCGGCCCAGATGCAGCAACAGCATTCCTGCTGCAGCCTTTGTCAGCCAGACAACTACTGCTGGTACAGCGGCCCTGTCTCTATGAGGTGAATACACCAGACCGCAGCCTTACTTTCTAAGACTGACTCGGTGTAACCAGCTTGCCCAAATGCTGTGGCCCCAGAGCCTGAGTCTGCTCAGTCATGACGCAGACACGGTACGGCTGCTCTCATGCGACATGCAAGTTCACACCTGGAGACTTGCCCAATCAAGGGTCCTAACCTGGGAAAATCGTGTTTGTGGTCATTTCCCTACATGGCATTTAAAATATTTGTTTCTTATTTATTTTCATTTTATTTGAAAGGTAGAGAGAGAAAGACAAAAATCGAGAGAGAGAGAGAGAGAAAGAGAGAGAGAGAGAGAGAGAGAGAGAGAGAAATTGATCTCCCACTTACTGGTTCACTCTCCAAATGCCCCCAATATCCAGAAGTAAACCAAGCTAAAACAAGGAGGTCAGAATTCAATCTGAGTTTGCCATATGAGTGGCAGGGACCCAAGTGCTTGAACCATTCATTGTCTTCTGCTTTCTGGGATGCACATCAGCAGGAAGCTGAATTGGAAGCAGAGTTGGAACTTGGGAACTTGAACCCAGGCACTCTGATATGGGATGCATGTATCCCAAATGGCACATATTTTTAAAACTTATATGAAAGGCAGAGTTACAGAGGGAGGAAGAGACAGAGGGAGAAAGAGAAAATTTTCCATCTACTGGTTCACTTCCCAAATGGCTGCAATGGCCAGGCTGGGACAGACTGAAGCCTGGAGCCAGGACATACAAATATCCATCTGGATATCTCAAATGGATGGCAGGGACCCAGGTACTTGAGTCATCTTCCACTGCTTTCCCAGATGTATTAGCAGAGAGCTGGATCCAAAGTGGAGCAGCCAGGACTTAAACCAGTGCCCACAAGGGATGCCAGCATTGCAGGAGGCAGCTTTACCACCTGAGCCACAGCCTGCACCTCCACGTGGCATCTTAAGCACTGTGCCAAATACTTGCCCCCTACCTTTCCTGTTTGAGTTCTCCCAAGAAGTCCTGGGACTTCTTGCAAGGATTTGCTCAAGCCCAGCTTGTCCAGAGAAGCAGAGAATTTGGGGCTTCCAACCCAGCACAGTCATCAGCTCATCATGGCTTGTCTGGGACTTTCTTGTCTTGAAAAGTCTCATTCTCCAGGAAGTCCCTCACTCCCACGCACAGAGGAATGGCTGATCACCCTAAGTTCATGACATCTAGGTTTTGTCATCTGAATATCAGTTTCCTACTTTGTAAAATGCTTGGTTAGGTCAATACAGCTTCTAATGTTACCACTATATTTAATAGTCCATGATTCACACTCATGCTCCTGACCTCATGCCTCCACAGCCCAACTCCCAAACAAAATTCACTTGATCCAAGACCTAAGTTTCACATAATCTGATAAATTAATCATCAGTAAGTTAGTGAGAAAAGATAGGGTTCACAGATGAATTTCCATGATGGCTTTGGGAAGAAGGCACATGGCCATAGCTGAGTGACTCTACGCTGGGAAGTTCTGCTGGGAAGCTGGGATGTTTGGCTCTGTGCCCTTCTAAAAGGAAAAGATATTTTTAGGCAGGTGTTAAGATGGGCAGCCTGCAAGAATTGGTTGGATGGGTTAATTTCAGCTGCACATGAGCAAATGGTCACAGGCAAGGCAGTCTTGTCTGACTGGAACCAGCTTTTACACTATGACCTGAATAAAGGCAGCAGCTGAAATCAGACTCACAACGAAAGGAAGTATATTGATTGCACTATTTTTTTTCTGATGGATTTGCTTGTTGCCCAAGAATGACATCTAAAATATAGATATGCAGATATCATTCTGAGTAGCTGATTTTAAACTCTGATACTGGGAAACAGGTGAAATGATATGAATTTGCTGATATTTGGCCTTTTTATTGTAAAAGATTTATATATTTATTTTATTTTAAGGGATGAGAGAGAGAGAGAGAGAGAGAGAGAGAGAGGTGTCTTCTATCTGCTGGGATGACCAAATGACCACAAAGGCTGGGACTGGGCCAGGCCAAAGACAGGAGCCTAGGACTCCAACCAGGTCTCCCATGTAGGAGGCAGGGGCCCAAACACTTGGTCCATCCTCTGCTGCTTTCCCAGGCACATTAACAGGGAGCTGGATCAGAAGCAGAGCAGCTAGGATTTGAACTGGCATTCCCACTGTGCCACAATGATGGCCCTGACAAATGGACACTCACATGGTGCAATCTTATCTATGTTCTTTTCCTTAGTTTCCTCATGTGTGCAGTGTAGATAGGCACCAACTGCGTGAGGATGCCATTAATGAGAAGTCACAGGGCAGTCAGAGCACTCCCGGGCTCAGAGATGTGCTCAGGGATGTCCTGCTGCCACCACCATTACTGATGAAGAAGCACACGGGGTCCTTGGAATCCATCAACTGATCCAAGGAAGTAGGGGGAGCCCACATTCTTCCTGGGACATGGTATTTGGACAAATCAAGTTATTATGGAAATATGTATCTCAATTTTTATTCCACGTTCTTACCCCCACAGAGAAAAGAATTCAAAACAGAGGCGTAGGGCCAGTGCTGTGGTGCAGCAGGTTAACACCCTGGCCTGAAGCACCGGCATCCCAAATGGGCACGGTTTGAGTCCCGGCTGCTCCACTTCCGATCCAGCTCTCTGCTGTGGCCTGGGAAAGCAGTTAAAGATGGCCTAAGTGCTTGGGCCCCTGCACTCATGTGGGAGACCTGGAGGAAATTCCTGGCTCCTGGCTTTGGATCGGCATAGCTCCAGCCGTTGCGGCCAGTTGGGGAGTGAACCAGAGGATGGAAGATTCTCTCTCTCTCTCTCTCTCTGCCTCTCCTCTCTGTGTAACTCTGACTTGCAAATAAATACATAAGTCTTAAAAACAAACAAACAAACAAACAGAGGTGTAAGCAAGGTGCACAAATGAGAGGAGGATATTTAGAGTTACAGAGAGAATATACATTTTCTGTGAGTGTGGGCAACCCCACATAGAGATACCTGCCATGGTGGGCACAGAGATGCCTAAGCAGGGTCAGGCCTGATTAGTACTTAGATGGGAAGAGGAGAGCACGGGAGGAGGCTGGAGAGGAACCAATAAAGGCAGGAAACAAAAAGTCAGAGGGTCACTGCCGCGCGTCAGTCTCCTTTATGGGGCATGGGTGTCCTAACTGAATATACAAATAGAGGAGTTTGGGGAGGGTTTAGTGTGTGTGAGGCTTTCTGGGAGTTTCATGGGACCTCCATGTGGACTTTAATTTCCATGTGGCCTCATGGCATCTTCCCCTTCCTGGTGTAGAAGCAGGTGCATCATGGGAAAGTAGGTTTATACTGGATTGACAGGTAAGCGTTGGAATTACAATGCAAGGCTAGAGGCAGAAATGAAGAGAAAAATCTTCCAACTCAACTATTCCTACCTATTTCTGACTTAATCCCCCCCTATCATTGGCATATTGGTCCCTTAGCTCAATTGGCAAACTTTAGAACGAGGAAAAATAGGATATGACCACAGATTTTTCAAGTCATTTGGAGAATGGAAGGTTTATTTGCCCTCTCAGTACAGACAATTAGTTCCAAAGCTCACCAAAGCACTTTTATGATGGGGTTTTGCTCTAAGAACATCAGGCTCCATCTTTCACCCTATGTTTATTTGTAGCAACCACAGAGCACAGCTATCTTATTTAGCTTAATTACATAAACACACACAGTATACAAAGACATGGCGAAGCACATATGAAACAAATGAGCTAGCCTTATTATGATCAGAGTACAAAAAAGTTACATTGGATTTCTCCTCTCAATAACTAACAGGAAGCAATAAAAAGAGAGGAAACATAAAACATTTGCGGTACTATTAGCATCATAATTAGATAAAATTTATTGACTTACGCAAATTCACTTGGGCTTTTTATAGCTCCAGGATTGTAGGAAATAATTAAGAAATGGATCTTTAGGTCTATTAGTATCTTTCTTCTCTGTAGCATTCTTACATTTTGTCTTTTCTCTTCACTTCAGGTTCACTTGTTTTATGTTAAGGGAACACCACCTACTTTAAGTCAGATGGTAGCTGAGGAAACCATCTGACTCCGAGCCTAGCACTCTTCACAGTGAGGATCCCACAGATATGCTGTCAGAAATGGGAAAAAGAAAACAACCTTGATTCTGGCTTGCTTAAACCCTCTCTCAGGGCCTCTTTCAAATGTGAGAAAGTTTAGCTCTCAACGTGTATTAACAAAAGGTATTTACAACAGAATGCCTGCTTGTGCCTAATAATGCCCTTGCTCTTTGAATTAATTCTTTCCTGATGACAAAGGCTGGGCTTTTGAACTCCTGGGTATGGCTAGGCAGGGCATTTTTGCTTGACTTGGCTCCATCTTAAATGGGTAGAAAAGGCTTGATTGGGCACCTGGTATTTCATGGCCACTAATTATGCTACAATGGTTACTGTGCATTACTGAAACTTTATTTTTTGGCCAAAGGCCAACTGTACTCTTTAAAACAAACATCTTTTGAAAGCCTAGGGTGCTCTTTAAATGACTTAAAAACCCACTTCATAAATAGGATTTGGCATAAGTCAGATTGTTTTTTAAAGTCAGATTTTCTTAAAAAAGATGCTTAGAGGCCAGCACTGTGGCATAATGGGTTAAGCCACTGTTTGTAATACCCTCATTCCATATGGGCACTGGTTCAAGCCCTGGCTGCTCCTCTAGTGATCCAGCTCCCTGCTAATGTGCCTGGGAAAGCAGTGGAGGATGGCTCAAGTTCTTGGGGCCCTGCAACTATGTAGGAGACTCAGAAGAAGCTCCTGGCTCCTAACTTCAGCCTGGCCCAGCCCTGGCCCTTGTGGCCATTTGGGGAGTGAACCAACTGGTGGAAGATCTCTCTTTTCCTCTCTCTTTCTGTAACTCTTGTTTTAAAAAATATTTATTTATTTATTTGAAAATCAGTGTTACATACACAGAGAGAGAGAGAGAGAGAGAGAGAGAGAGGTCTTCCATCAGCTGGTTCACTCCCCAATTGGCCACAATGCCCAGAGCTGCGCCGATCTGAAGCCAGGAGCCAGGAGCCTCTTCCAGGTCTCACATGTGGGTGCAGGGGCCCAAGGACTTGGGCCATCTTCTGCTGCTTTCCCAGGCCACAGCAGAGAGCTGGATCAGAAGTGGAGCAGCCAGGACTCGAACTGGTGTCCATATGGGATGCCAGCACTGCAGGTGGCAACTTCACCCACTATGCCACAGTGCCAGCCCCATCTCTGTAACTCTTTACTCTCCCTCCCTCCCTCCCTCTGTATTTCTTTCTTCTTAAAATATTTATTTATTTACTTATTTATTTATTTGAAGGCAGAGTTACAGAGCAGATGCAGAAGCAGAGAGAGAGAGAGAGAGAGAGAGAGAGAGAGAGAGATCTCTGGAGCTGGGTTGATCTGAATCCAGGAGCCAAGAGCTTCCTCTGGGTCTCCCACGTGGGTGCAGGGGCCCAAGAACTTATATCATCTTTTGCTGCTTTCCCAGGCCATTAGCAGGGAGCTACATTGGAAGTGGAGCATTGCCAGCGCCTATATAGGATTCTGGCAATGCAGGCAACTGCTTTACCAGCTATGCCACAGTGCTGGTTCCATCTGTCTTTCAAATACGTAAAATAAATCTTTAAAAAGGAAAAGATGTTTAACTCAGTATCTCTTTGCTTGCTGTTTGGTATGACTTCCTCCATTTTTTTAAGATATATTTATTTCTTTGAAAGAGTTACAGAGAGAAAGGGAGAGGTAACAGACATCTTTCATATAGCTGCAATGGCTAGGGCTGGGCCATGCAGAAACCAGAAGCTTCATCTGGGTCTCCCCATGAGCAGCAGGGCCCAAGCACTTGGGCCATCTTTTGCTGCTTTTCCCAGGCACACCAGGAGGGAGCTGGATTGGAAGTGGAGCAGCCAGGACATGAACCAATGCTCATATGGGATGCTGTCATTGCAGGCGGTGGCTTTATCTGCTGTGCCACAATGCAGGCCCCAGTTTCTTCACTTTTATGGGGTGAGTAGTATATGCTCTACCTCAGCCATCTTTTTTTTAAGACTCATTTATTTATTTATTTGAAAGAGTAACAGAGAGAGAGGAGAGGCAGAGAGAGAGAGAGAGAGAGAGAGAGAGAGGTCTTCCATCTGCTGGTTCACTCCCCAATTGGCTGCAACGGCCGGAGCTGTGCTGATCTGAAGCCAGGAGCCAGGAGCTTCCTCTGGGTCTCTCACGTGGGTGAAGGGGCCCAAGGACTTGGGCCATCTTTTACTGCTTTCCCAGGCCATAGCAGAGAGTTGGATTGGAAGAGGAGCAGCCAGGACTAGAACCGGCGGCCATATGGGATGCCGGCACTGCATGCAGTGGCTTTGTCGGCTAGCCACAGCGTCGGCCCCTACCTCAGCCATCTTAATGTCTCCTTTTCCCTTCATCAGTTCGCATGTGTACAGATTTACTCTAGTGTGTGTGCTAGTAACTGAGGCAGGGAGTGCTAAATACTTAAATAGCCAGGGAAACAAATCATCTTTCCTCACTGAGCAGATCAGTAAGTCATCTATGGTTAGGCTTTCACAGCTGTGTGCCTTCTGAGAAGACAAGGTCAACTTTAAAAAAAAATATATATATTTTTCTATCTGAGGGACACACACAGAGAGAGAGAGAAAGAGAGAAAGAGAGAAAGAGAGAGAGAGCGAGCGCGAGCAAGAGAGCAAGCATTCCTATTGATTGGTTCATTTCCAAATGCCTGCAATGGCTGGAGCTGGGCCAGGTTGAAGCCAGGAGCTGGGAACATAGTGTAGGTCTCCTATGTGGCAGGGATCCAACCTTTGAACCATTACCTGATGCCTCCCAGCGTCCACATGAGCAGGAAGCTGGAATTGGGAGTAGAACTGGGTCTTGAACCCAGGCAATCTTTTACAGATGCCAGCATCCTAACTAGTATCTTAAATCTCCAGGCCAAATGCCACTCCACCACCTCCACTCTTAACTGAAAATCTGAGCACCAAGGTGTGGGGTCAAGTCATCAAGGGTGGACTCACAGGAGTTTGGTTGGGGGGGTGGGGTGGGGGATGGTACACTGAAAGTCTCATCAGGCAGGAGCCAGCCCAATCTTATGCTGATTCCCAGGTATGAGAACTCCCCTCCATGCCTCTTCCCCTCACTGCTAGTTTCAGAAAAATGACAGATACTCACCTCCCAAGGACTGGTGAAGTTGGATGTGATCCATGTGCGGTTAAGAAATGGCTTTTGTTGTTGTTGTTGTTGCTCATGGTACTCCCCAACCCTGTCTCCCTCCCTACCTCCATGCCCTGGACAGCAGGCCCTTCTCATATTACATTACATCAAGGGGAGGAAATGATGTGACAGGGTAGAAAGCAAAACAAGAACAACCAAACTTCTGTGAGCTGTGTTTGCTGTTATAAAAACTCTCAGAGGACTAGAGATGGTTTCAAGCATGGCCAAGATATTTGAAGAAAAAGCTCTGAGGAGAGAGGGAAATCGCTGCAAGACTAGAAACTTTCCTCTGCTGAGGAAAAGGACAGAAAATGGGTGAAAGGTGAGAGGGAGGTCTTTCCCTTAACCACACCCCCTATTTCTGGAAGGCAGCACGCCCGGGGAGGAGAATGGCTCTGTGGCATGGGCCTATAGACTATTCCAGACTCTAGAATGGCCCCAATGGAGCAGGGAGCTGCTAGATACAAATGGGCCTGTGAACAGGGCTAGGAAAGGAAGACTGGAAGGAACTGTGGTGGTCATCTTGGTTGGTGCCTCCTCAAAGAGCTCACTTAAGGAACATATGTTTTTCCCAATACCTAGGCACCACCTAATTCCCTCCCAGTACCCCACTCTCATCACACCGCAAACTTCAACACATCTTTAAAGGCGGAAATATACCAAAGTGAGGGAAGTCATTGCTGACACTTTTCAACAGAGAGTGGGGACTTGAAATATAAATTAGGTTGAATTAGAGAGGAGTAAGGATCTAAACCTTGCATCCTTGAATTTGTATATGGAGACCTGTGCATCCAGTGAGCTTCTGGGGGAGTGCAATGTGGTGGAGAGATGGTTGCCCTGAGAATGAGAGGAGAGAGGTGATGTCACTTACTAGTGCATGACTTCAGACAAGTCATGTAACTGCTCTGGGTATCAGAGCCTAGACAATACCATGTGGGTAATCAAACCTGTCCTGACAACTTCTAGTCGTGTTGCAAGCAATGGGATGCTGCTGGTGGATGTCACAGAATACAGGGCGAGGCAGTAAGGCAGCCTACCTGGTATCAGACACAAAGCACAGCTTAAAGAAAAAAATGAGGTAATAATTTCAACATGTTGGAACTTGTAGAAAAGACTAGCTGAGCATGTATTGAATTTTATCTTCCTGGCACACAAAAAGGAAACATTTCCTGGGCAGGTGTTGGGCACAGCAGTTCAGAGACGCCCACAGCCCATATCAGAGTGTGTAGTTTCGTGTCCTAGCTCTACCTCTGATTCCAGTTTCCTGCTGATGTATGCTGTAAGGCAGCTGGTACGGCTCAAGTAATGGGGTCCCTGACACATGCAGGAAATCTGGAGTGAGCTGCAGGTTCCCAGGTCCAGGTGCAACCAGCCCTGGCTGTTGTGGGCATTTAGGGAGTGAACCAGAGGATGGGAAAATTCTGTCTTGTCTCTCTGCCTTTTAAATAAAATGAAAATAAATAGAAATTTAATAAAGTTGACATTTCCCAGCCTCCCTTATAGTTAAGATGGGACCATTTGATTGGATCTTGGATAACAGGATGTGGCAGAAGTCAGGGACGTGCTTGCAGATGTAGCCACACATCCTGTGGTGTGGTCTTATTAATATGTAATCTCTTCTCCCTCTGTGGCAATTGTTGAGGCCAAATTGTGACAGATGAGGGCATTTTAAGATGACAGGAGCCTTAATCTCCAAGTCACCACTAAAGACTCATCTAGGAGAGTCCCTGCCTGCACTGGGCTCTGATGCATGACACAAACCTCTCTTGTTGTCAACAATATTTTGGGTTTCTATATATTTTTTGAAGATTTTCTAAAAATTTGTTTGAAAGGCAGAATTATAGAGAGAGGAGGAGGAGAGGAAGGAGAGGGAGAAAGAGAGAGAGAGAGAGAGAAAGAGAGAGCGCTTCCATCACTGGTTCACTCCACAAATGGCTGCAATGGCCAGGGCTGAACCAGACCGAAGCCAGGAGCTTCTTCTGAGTCTCCTACATGGGTGCAGGGACCCAAGTACTTGGGCCATCTTCTGCTGCTTTCCTAGGCACGTTAGCAGGGCACTGGATAGGAAGTGGAGCAGCCAGGACTTGAACCAGTACCCATACGGAGCTTTTTCTGCTATACCACAGCACTAATCCTGGATGACAGCCATTGTAACTGGGATAAGGTGATATATTATAGTGGTTTTTATTTGCATTTCCCTGATGGCTAGTGATCCTGAGCATTTTTTCATGTGTCTGCTGGCCATTTATAGTTCATCCTTTTAAAAATGCTTGTCCATGTCCTTTGCCCATTTCTTAACTGGTTTGTTTCGTTGTTGTTGGGTTTCTTGAGCTCCTTATATTTTCTGGATATTAATCCTTTACATGCATAGTTTACAAATATTTTCTCCCACTTTCTTTTGCCTCTTCACTTTGCTGAGTGTTTCCTTTGTAGTGCAGAAGCCTTTTGGCTTGATATAATCCAATTTGTCTATTTTTGCTTTTATTGCCTGTGCTTCTGGGGTCTTATCCAAGAAGTCCTTGTCTATGCTAATGTATTTCAGAGTTTCCCTAATGTTTTTCCCTGGTAATTGGATAGTATCAGGTTGTAGATTTAGATCCTTGATCCACTGTGAGTTGATTTTTGTATAAGGTG